AACATTTGGATGATAGAAACATTTACGTAATGGTAATAATTCTTTTTCCATAGCTTTTTCAATAGCTTCTGCATTTGATTGAATACCATAATTAAATAACATTTTTATAGCTAAATTAAATTGACCGGCTAAAAAAAAGAAAAACAATCCATTTTTTGTTGAAATAAATAATGAATAGAATTTTTACCTGGTAAAATATCCGAATTATTATTCGATGATTGATTCATACTTGTTGATACTCGATATCGAACTAGAATAAAATAATATAAACTGTTAGTACAATCGTTGCAGAATTAAAAATGTAAAACATATTAAAAATTCAATGAAGAAATAGTTCATATTTTATAACAAGATATTATTGATCAACATCTATCATGTTTTGTACGAAGTTTAGATTTTTACCCCTATACTTTAGAACTGGCTAATTCAATTATTCTGAATACACTGACAGAAATAGTGTATTATTTGAGATAAGTGCAATTTCGGACAAATACGATCGATGAGAGTTTCAATGGAAACTACAGCTCCTACTAAGAATACGGCTTGAAGTGATTCATTACTTTTGAGCTATTATTGTGAACATATAAAAAAAAAGGACTTCTAGACTGGCATAACTTCAAAAAGGGTTTGTTTAATGTTTAAAAACACTTCTGATTTCCTTTATCCTTTCTGAATTCTATTTACTTTTGATACTCATGCGATCAGCTTGTTTTATTCTTCAAGTAAGAAAATAACAACATGTCTCTGAAGCAATGATAAGTATTTCCTGTTTAATACTTGCGATAGTACGATGAATGTAGACGAAAAAAGTCGTATAGTTTTAAGAACATCAAACAAAAATAAAGTCTTTTTCCTTTTTTTTTTGATGATTAAAATATCTCTATTAGATTATTTGTTAATAATAAGAAAATATTCCGATAAAATTACTTCCGATTTTCTCAAAAAAAAAAGAGGAAATTCAATTTTTTTTCTTCTTCAATCAGAACACTATATCTAAACTAATTAGTATTGAAAAAAACAATCACCTTCTTTTAACGTCAGTTCATTGAGTCGATCTTCATTAATATCATTACAATTTTCATTTAGATCTTCATATGATGATGATGAAGAGGAGACAGACGAAATATTTGATGATTGACGTGAAAGTATTTCAAAATCATTTTCATTTGTATGTTTTTGAAATTCTATGTTAGAATTCGATGGTATAGTATTAGATGATGATCGAAGTCGTGCTTCATATACAGCTGCATTACAACCACAACCAATTAAACGACCTAATTCATAATCGTCGAGTGATGCTCGACTATATTTTTCATTGTCATCATTAAATTGATCCACGATAGTTGTTTTCGAAAGAAGATTACCAATTTTATTTAATGTTTCATTGAGATAAAAATTATCAATAGATGATTGTTGAACAAATGAATAGCCAAGTAGACCCAAAATAAAACGAGAACTACTTGGTGCTAAAAGAAAAAAAACAAACAATAAGATCAAATTTCAAAAAACCGATATTATTTTCTTATCATGCAAAATTCTTTCTAAGAATAGACTAATCTTTCAAGAAATGTTTTCTTAATATGTGCTTTTCTTTTCTTTTTATTTTATATTCATTATTTTATATATGTAACTGAAAGCAACATGACTACTTGTATATTCTATGTCTAAGAGGAAGGAAATTAAGATAATTCAAACCGGAAATTGTTTTTTCGCACTTTAATCGTAGTCTAGAAGTTATTTAAAAAAAAAGTAGAATTGATTGTGTTGAATTATTTTATATGATATTTCTTTTGATTTATGAAATTTAAATAAATTAGAAATTAGATATCGTATTCAAGAAAAAAACACATCTATATTCTTCTAGATAAGCATGATATAGAAAAAATAAGAATGAAGCTTTTATTAATAGAATACATATTTTAACTTAAACTTATATATTCAATAGACTCGAGTAAAATTTAAAACACTTGTTTTGTATGTCATCTGTTATTTTTCTCTGACGAATAATTATGATAACATGTCTTTTTTTTGTCCCTCGATTTATAATATTACTCAATAAAATGCTACTTAATTTGTTATATTGTTCGAAACAAAAACAATTGAAAAATACAAACCAGCAAAAAATAATCGTCGCTTAATTTCGTTCAATGTATTTCGAAATGGCATTAAATTTGTAAGATTTTGTCCATTTAATGAAGTAAAAACTGAACGATAAATTGAAGGAAATAAATAAAATCTTTGAGGATATTTTGAATAAATTTGATGATTTTTATTCAATTGAAATTTTTGATTAATACGATTAGTAGATATAATAGGTTTAAATGGACGAGAAATAATTGCACGACTAAGTCGAACAATTAATGATGCTGTTCCTTTAAATACCATTATAAATAAATCTACAAGAAATTTAGATAAAGAACAAACAAAAAAAAAAAGATAATTATGAATTATATTTCACGAAATATTAAAAAGAAAAACAACTAATTAATTAGAAATAAATTAATGTTTATGATATTTTTTTAATGTTTGATTTTTATCTGTTTGTCTTGATGAAACACGATCATGAATTGTTTTATGTACATTTGTTTGATTATCTTTTGGTAAAATATGAACTATACGTTGATTATTATTATTATTATTTGGTAATGATTCATTTGTACGACGTTTTTTAATTAATTGTCGAAGATCAAAATTATCAGAATTTAATTTAACTGTTATTGAAACAGGTTGTTCTTGAATTGATGAAGATTTTTTAATATCTTCAATTTTTTGTCGTTTTATATCTTTTGAAGATAATTTATTATGATTAGAAATTTTTTTTGATATTTGTTCTTCTTTTGAATGATTTATTATTATTGTTTGTTGTTCATCTCGTAAAAGTAAATCATCATCTTGTATAGGACAATTAACAATAAGTGTATCATCATCATTATTATTATTATTTGGAATATCTTGTGGAAAACGTTCATCAATATCAGCAATTGTTTGTTTAGTTTTTATTTCAAAACGATAATCTTTATCATTTCTATCTAATGAATTTGAACTAATTGATGATAATGATGATGATGAATAAGATCTACTTCTAGATGAACGACTATAACTAGATCGTGATGATGATGATGATGATGAATAAGATCTTGATGATGAACGAGAATTTCGATGAATTGGTGAATGATCATAAGTATTCTTTTTAAAAAAAAAATAGACTTATGTTTTTGTTTTAAATAAAATAAAAAAAAAACAAACAAACTTTGCGTTTATTAGAATATAATGTTTTAAGTGCAGCTGTTCGTAATTCTTCTAAATCATCATCTTCATCATCATTATTATCATTATGATAATTATTCTTTGTTGTATTTGTGATTTGATATGAAGAATAATGAGACATAGGAGTAATAGATTGTAATTGTGTATTATCAAAAAAATGATCTGTTGTTATAGGATAATATGAAGATGTCTATAAGAAAAAAAATAATAATAATAAAATTAAAATTTTTCTTTTAAAAATAATAAATTATTCAAAATAAAGAATTTTACCATGACGAAATTGATAATATTTTGCAACTCAATTTCAAATCTATGATTAATATTATTAGTTAGAAAACTAATGAATTAGATTTGATATTAATAAGAACCAATGACTGATAAATGCGTCATATTATATTCTAGAATTATTCGATTGTTATTGATCGACATCTATGTGGTAGTTAAGTATGGCAAACTATACCAACCAGTTAATAGATAGATATTCTCATCAACGTCATCTATATAAAATTTTGAAGTTATAATAATTTAATCTAGAATATTTTCTTCTATTTGTTTGAAACATAAGACGAAAGCTATACAGTACTGAGATTCAAAACTATTACACAATTTATTATCTTTCAGTTTACTATTATTCTTTTTTACTGAAATATTCAAAAAAAAAGATCGTTGTGAACAAATAACTAGATAACAATTTATCAATGATTCAAGCAATCAGATAATATGTTTTAAAAATAATCAATTCAATCCATAAATAAATGAATTATATTGATTTTGTTTTTGTCGTAAGATCTATATATTAATTTGAAAAAAATTTCAAATAAATTCGTCCTTTTCTCTCTTTGTATTGTTCAACTTTTTCGTTTAAATATACATGTTGAATAACAAAATGAGAACTTCTAGAATAAATACGTTGTCATAGTAGTTATACAGTTGGGAACTTTGTTCAATTCAATTAATGGAAGTAAAATACAAAATTTTTTATTTATATAATATAATGAGTAGTTTATCTATACACTAATAATTGCTCATTTTATTAAACAATTTGATTATTATAAATGACATCTATTGAAAGTTCTTTTGATATTATAACAAAAGATGATGACTCATGGGCAAAGATGGACTCGAGAGTAGAGTTCACACTGAATTGAGTTTATTTCTAACGATCATATATATATATATAATAATATCAATGTTACTAAAAAACACTAAATTAAAATATGTAAAAAGAGAAAGTTTACAAGAATGTTTGTTATTGATTTTATAAACCATGATATGTAAGAAATAGTATATTTTAAAACAAAAATTAACTTCGATGATATTGTTAGTTTTTCTAATTTTTATCTATTTCAACTAACTTATGGAATTACATAACAAAGTTATCTGATTTTAAATTAATTCTATCATATATGCACGAACAAAACAAACTACTAGTTTCAGTTTCTTAAGTGTATAAACTAAAAGAATTCAATCGGATTGACAATGACATTTCGAAATATTTTAAATCGATGATTTTATACTTAAAACATATATTAAGAGTAGTTATATTTGTATAGAGATATGAATCATGTATGAAAAAAGACGTCATTTTTCCAACACAATAAATAACAAGCAAGTTAAAAGTTTATTTAAGCTGAATAAGTTGAAAAAGAAAGCGTCAAGTGCATATTCGTTCTTTTCTTTTCGTCTATCATCTACTAATGATGATGCAAGTCATTTAAACTAAAGAAGAGAAGATGACGACATTCATTTCACACGATAATCAACTAGAAACATCTAAACAACATCAATATAAATGTCGAGTAAGAATAAAAATTATATGATTTTAAAGTAAAAATAATTTTTTTTTTCTTTTTCAAAGAAAAAAATAAATGAAATTCATGAATTAGATCGAACATTTCATAAAAAAAATAGAAGTGAGTCGTATCGTCTCTAATCTATTAAAAACAAAATATAAATATTGATGTAGATATGCTAATTGATGATCATAATATTGATCAAGCTTTATTATCCTTAGACACTTGTATTGATTCTAAACAAGAAAATATTCTTAATAGAAATACAGTTAGATCAATTTCAGATACATTTAGTAAGTTTATTTAATAAATAGATAAAATCAAACTCTTCTTTTTTGTTTTTTCTTTATCTTATAGCATCTGTGACAAAGAATCTAAATGATTCTACTAAGCAATTGTCTTTATTTTGTGAAAGTTCTACTAATGTGGAAACCATTAAATCTAATATAGAAGTCATTGATGATGAAAATCATATTAGTAAAAAAGATGAAAAAGTAAATTATGAAATACATGTTAAACAATCAACAGGTAAGATCATAGAATTGTATGAATAGATTGTATATATGATGATGAAAAATTTCCATAGGTTTTCTCAACAAACTAATCTCGAAAATTTCTTATTTTGTTGACCTGTTCAGACCGTAGAGCATATGGTATTAAAGTAGTAACTTTTTCTGTTTCGACTTGTTGTTTTTGTTACAGAATATACAGCCATATTAATCATACGACGGATGCACATCAAAAATTCAATAACAAAATCTTCAGGATAATGTTATTTTATTTGAAATTCATTTTTTGAAAAACCTAAAAGATTATTAATATATAGATAATTCGATATCCTCTATAATCTCAGTAGATCAAAAACTATTTTAGCAAAAAAATGTTGGAAAAATTAACGTCGGCGTCAGGAATAGATGGAGAAAACTCTAGAACGAATATCTCGAGAACAGTAGCAACTAGAGACCTGTGGCTTTTACCATTGGAAAGAGCGATGTCGAGGGCATCGATCGACATAAAATTTATTAGGTTCGGAGAGTTCTTTCATGAATAATTTTGGATTGACATTTTGTTTGCTGCCTTTTTTCATCAATTTTCAGAGGAATTTTAACCCAAATTATATCAAAATGTAGCCCCAAACGCTCCGTGTTCAAGCTAAAATTTTTACAATTTACTATTATCTTTTCAACGTTTTCCTTCGATGGAGCTTCTAAAGAACATGATAATTTTTATAGGAATATATGGTGTCTCGGGCTACATTTTGGCATAATTTAGGTTGAAATTCCTCTGAAAAATAATGAAAAAATGCACCGAACAACATGTCAATCCAAAATTATCCATGAAAGAACTCTCTGAACCCAATAAAATTTTATGTTGATCGATGCCCTCGACATCGTTCTTTCCAATGGTGAAAACCGCAGGTCTCTAGTTGCTACTGTCCTCGAGATATTCGTTCTAGAGTTTTCTCCATCTATTTCTGGCGCCGACATTAGTATATATATACGATTGATCAATTGAAAACTTTCTATTGTGAAATTTTTGCTATATTGAAGATCCATGTCAAAATATTTCAATAATTAAAAATACTAGTCAACGAAAACGACATATTATGATAAGCTATGATCGTTCATCAATAAAAACTTGTCGTAAAATTTATCATCAACTTGTAGTAAATATATATATATATATTGATGTATTAAATATTTGAATAAATTCTATTGGTGTTAATTATAGGAAAAAAATTATAAAGTATGGATAGATCTTGAACATATGTTTGATGATATACTTGTTGCAATGGCACAAGCAATTGAAAATTCATATATTATTCTTCTTTGTATTAATCAACAATATTATGAAAGTGATTATTGTCGATTAGGTAATTGAATATAAATTTATATATTTAAATTTTAGATTTAATAATTTCTAGAAGCTGTATATGCTGCTGAAAATCGAATTAAATTTATTCCATGTTTAATGGAAAAATCATTTCATCCTCAAAGTTGGTTAGGTATTATTATTGATTTATTCATATATTATAGTAATCATAGATTATTTAAATGTTAATATTTTTTTCAATCTATTCAAATGAAATATAAGAATAATATATAAAGGTTCAAATTTTCATATTGATTTTTCTTCATCGGATGATTTTGATCAATCATTTAAACAATTAATTCGTCAGATTACTTATATTGAAAAAGAATTATCTTTAGAACCTCGTAAATTTGTTTTTGTTTTTTTTTTTTCGGAAATTTAATTAAATTTCATTTTGATAAATTTATATAGGTCGTACTCCTGCTTCTAATTCAATTATAATAAATCCAATGATAGCAGCATCAATATCAACTTCAACAATAACTGATAATATAAATTCATATAGATTTGATTCGATTATTTATGAATATAAAAGAAAAATAAATAAAACAAAATATCATTTAAATGAATTAAATCGAAATGAATTATCTGAACTTATAGGTAAAATTCGTCAAGAATTATTTAATGAAAAAACAAAAATATTATTAAATAATGAACAATCAAATGATGAAGATTATAAAAAATTTGTACAACTATTTGTTGATCAAACACTTAAACAAAATGAATTATTATTAAAATTAATTGATGATTTAACAAAACAACAATCTATAGAACAATATAGAAGACATAATTTTAATGTGAATAATATACTAAAAGTAATATTGGGTATTATGCTTTTATGGATATTAGTTTTATTTTGTCAGAAATAATACAATATTTTTATTTTTTTGTTAACATTATTGTTTTTTGTAGAAAAAGAATTGAACATTTAATTGTTATAAAATAGCTTTTATATGCTAAATTTATAAGAATAACTTTTCAATGTTTTTCAATAATTGATCAAGATAATTTTTATAGGACATAACTAAGAAATCAAATATAAGCATTAACAAAGCGAAATTTCTTCAGTTAATACATTGTATTTAAATTGAATCTTATCTGATCAGATACACTTTATTGAGAATAGACAAAATTCTCGATAATTTGTATTTATAAATTTTTCTATTCTAATGAAGTTTTTAACAAAAATATCAGACTTCTTTCCAGATCTCTTTCATCATCGACTTTCGAATTCGTACATTTCATAATTAATGTTTTCAACAGGATTCGTTGATAATGAAGAAAGTTTTAGTAATTGATTTAAATATACTCAAATAGGTAATCCTTACCTAAAAGAAATTTTTAAAGATTCATCATACATAAACACCAAAAATTAGAGCATACTTTGATTTTAGAATCTATCGAGAGATGAACAGAGGAGATATCATTGGTGAAGCGTTATGAAACTTTCGGAATACGTTAAAGTCATACATGATTTACGAGTAAACTGAATGATTGAAATATTGTTTAAAATATTTTAAAAGTAGAATATGACACGAGTAATCCATTATATCTACAACAAATTTTAACATCTTATTATATTATATGATGACTATGACAAATCAATGCATTACTATTTATCATGTCTGACATATTGAACATAAATTTTGATCTGTGCAAATAGCAGAAACTGTACTATTTAGAAGTAGATGTACAGAATCTACCTGTGTGCGGCAAAGCGTGTTCAGAGAAATAGAAAAATTAATTTATTTATTGATAAGAAAGTATTGAAACAGCTGCTTCTTACGTAATCCATTATTTATTGGAATGAAAATTATTTTTATTGATTAATATTTAATAAAGTAAATGAAACAAAAAAAAAGAATCTAGCTTTTCCTTTATTTTGATAGCAGAAGAAAATCTTTTGTTTTAGTGGTACATACTTCATCTCTGATCTAGAACAATCATAATTACATTTTAACTGAACAAATTTCGAAGAAGAATAATATATTCTAGAACTGTTAAAATCTTATTTTTAATATCATGCAATTCTCTTTTTCATTATAAAGAAACTCTAAAAAAAGGAATCTGAAGTCTCAGTTATTTAAGCTAATCATTGAATATTTACATTCACTTGTTTGCTTCGAATAAATAACTGAAGATTGATCCAATATTTTAAGATAACTCTAAATAAGCTCTATCATATTCTTTGAAAAATTCATTTTAGAATAAAAACAATTACTCTATGTTGTTCTGAATTTTAATTGTATAAAAGAAAAAGAAAACCAACAAGATAATTCTACAAAATATAACGTATTCTTTCTTTCTTAATTAGATAATTCTTACACACACACATATATATATATATGAATACATAAAACAAAAACGTATTAACAAGTTATATTCATTGCATTCGTTATATTAAAAGTTCCATGTGGTTGTTTAAGTACCATAATTGTTATTCGAATATATATTATCGCAAAAATAATTGTACTAATAAGAACAATAGCAGCTCCACCTATTTGAATAAGAAGAATTAAACATTGATATGATGTTTCACGTGATGGTTCATTAAATTTTGTTACACATCGTTTTAGATAAAAATTAATATGTAATAAAATTTCCGTAATCGTAAACATAAAAGCTAAAATGATAATTAAATAATTTTAATCAATAAATTAATAAAAAAAATAAAATATTTTTTTTTTTATTTTTACCAACAAATTGTATAATCAATACAGTTGATGTATGATGACGTTCGCGATCAGTACTAATCACTAATGATATAGAAATAAAAAAAAAATATAATACGTTTAAACTTTTATGTAATTATTATTATTATTATTTTACAAACCAAGTACAATAGCAGCTACTCCAGCAAGTGCATAAATAAATCCACACCAAAGACCAATAGCAATATCAAAAATTAATATTTCAAATATAAGAACAATTAAACCACCAAATATTTCAAATAAACCTAAGATAATTACAAATATAATCGGTAATTTCTTCTGAAATGGAGGTGTAAATGATCTAGTTATTGAAATTTCTTTTGTAGATGAAGAAGAAGATAAATTCGATTCATAGGATATAAAAGCAGATTGTTGAGTATTATTATTATTTTCATATAATGATCGTATAGGTGATGATAAAACAATTGTTTCATATGGATAAATAATTCGAGATGATGATGATATTGTCGGAATATCACTATCTATTTAATGATATATATATTAAAAATAAAAAACGAAATAAATAATCACTTACTTTCATACATCGAGTTGTAAGTTAATAAATTATATCACATGTACTAATCGAAGTACAGAATAAAAATAGTTATGATAGATATCATCATTCAATAGAATAAGAAACGAAGAAAACAAAAACAAAATTAGATATATCGAGGTCCGTCATAATGTGAACGCAAATGAAACACACGTGATTGTGTTTATAGAAGAATCAATTATCGATATCTTATAAAAGTATTTAAATAAATAAATAATCAATATTCATCATAACTATTACAAAATATCTGATAATATATGTTAGAAAACAAACTTCAATAGATTTTTTCTTCATGAATAATCATATGAGAGAAATAAAATCTCTTGAGAAGAAATTCGAACAACTATTTCTGATTTCAATTGACTTATTATCACAGACATAGACGGCGGAACGTTTTAAATCTAGACTACACTCAGCAAGTTTTATAAAATCCTCACCAAAAAGTAAATAATAGAGAGTATAAAGCTGGGGAATTTCAGAAAAAAATCAAAAAAAAATGTTTTGTCGAATGAAGAGTTTTCGATCTGTTTTGCTTGGGAAATATAATAATGCTGCAACAGCCATGTTCATAAAAACAAAAAACAAGGAATTCAATTGTAGGTTTGTTCACTTTGTTGTAAATGTTTCTTACGTGTGTAAGCTTAGCTACTATAAGTGAAGAAATAATACTATTTCAAGTCATAGATAATATAGGGTCCAATATTTAGTCATACACAATGGAATATTTTTTCAGTCTGCTTCAGTTCAAAGAAGTTACAACATGCTGCTGAAGATTACATCAACAAAAGCATAGAATAACTTTAATTGAATGAATATATTTTTAAACATTTACATATTGAAAAATATCATTAGGATAGAATAATTTTTTCTTATTTGATCTAGTCAACACTTATGAGAATATTTATTAGAGAAAATTGTGTCAATTGTTGTTCATCTATTTGAAACTATTTAGGACGCTCGAACAAAAACTATAAGAAAGTGAATAGAAAGCAAAATTTAAGGATCAAAATACCAAAAAAGAAAAACAATATTAGTTATCAATGGTCAATGATAAGGAAGAAAAAGCTGATAGAAATCAATTTATTGTTGTAGACTTTAATAATTACTATGCAATGTTGAACCTTTCTATTTATATTGAATTTTATCAATGTTTTAACATATCATAAAAAAATAAGTAAACAAACTAAGTAGATAAGTTTTAAATTGTATTTATCAACAAATATGTCTATATAGAATAGAAATTATTCATCTATATTAAGATTAATACTCGGTGAAAAATAGAAAGTTCATAAAATTCAAAAACGAACAGTATACACAATACGATTTTTTTCTCTCGTATACTTTAGATTAATATTTTATTTCGAAATATACCATTCGATATGACTAAATAAAGAGAAATTAGACATATTACACATGTTGATCATATAATATCGTATTTCTTTTCTAAATCAATCAAATATATATATTTTTTTTCTTCAAATAATCCTTTGAATGATATTTAAAACTATTTTCATTCTCATGTAAATATCATTTGATTTATTTTCATTCGTAAAAAAATTTTCCGAAATTATAAATATTCAATTTGATGACTTTCATAAATTACTCATGTTTTTGTTGATACTTTTTATTAATCTTAATTTTTCTTTAATCTATATCATGACAAAGAAAAAAAATGATTTCGTTTTGTTTGATAATGATTAATAGAATATGAAATATAATAGATGAAATTTTTCTTTTTGATTAGAAATTTTTTCAAATCATGTCACAAAATCAAAATACTATAGACGAATCTGAATTAACAATAACTCCAGCTGATCCACTTCTTCTTATACCATCAATAAGTAAAGAAAATTTAGCAAATGAAATGAAATTAATAAATCGTTTTTCTGGTATTTGTTATTCATTAATTGCATCATTTCTATTTATTGCTTCAACATTTACTATAAAACAATTAGGTATTGACTTACTTGATGCATTATTATTACGTTTTATACTTCAAACAATACTAACATTTTCATTTGCTTTATATAAACATTATTCATTACTTTCTGGTACAGTACGAGAAATATTCTTACAGATTATTTGTGCTATTATGGGTTCAGCAGGATCTTTTCTACTTTTTCTTGCTATGCGTTATATTGAATTATCTGATGTTAATACATTATTTTATACTCGAGTAGTTTGGACAGTTGTTCTTAGTATTATTGTTTATCGTGAACGACCATCAATAGGTATATTAATAGCTTTACCATTAACTTTTCTTGGTGTTATTTTTGTAACTCAACCAACTTTTCTTTTTTCATCAATAAATTCATCAATGAATAATATTAATTATAAATTTCGTATAATCGGTTATATTATATCTATTATTTGTGCTTTAACAGCAGCATTGAATGTTTTAATTTATAAACAAATTATTTCAACATCGAAAAATATTAAAGCAAGTGTATTAAATTTTCAATTTTCATTTTCTATTTCTATGTTTCTTATTCTCAATCAATTCTATAAAATATTTCATCTTAAAATAATAACTTCATTTAATTATTTTATATCATGGCGATATATAGCATCATCAATCGTTTGTTTTGTTATAATTATTTCAAAT